TGATACTTCTCTGGTGAGCTTGAGAATTTGTTGCACTGGCTGCACCAAAGGCACAGATCATACGCACAGTCATGTGGTTCATCGGGGAAGTAACAAGCTACACTCAACAAAGCCTGAATATCAGTCTCAACTTGGATGTAACAATACTCAGGGGATAGGATCAACTGCATTGATGAGGACAGCTTTCAACCAAGAGAGCTCTAAGCTTCTTCTCTGCTGTGTCCAACTGTAGGCCTTGCTCTTAGACCAATTGCCAATGGGCATTGCTCAGGCATGACCTATGTCTTGCTTGGACAAATGTTACAGCTCTTTTGTCTCCACTACAAGTACCTCAAGACATCCTACTCCACCAGTAAACTTCCTGTCTGAAGACACTCGATTCTTTCCTGGTTCCCACCAATTGTGCTGCTGATGTCTGTCTCACACCATCGCCAGTGTCACAGCTCTCTTTCTTTTCTGGGGGTAAGAGATTCTTAGTACAAGGACCCCTCATCCAAATGACACTTTCACATTGGATTCTTCTTCATGGCTCTCAGGTTCCTTTAAATCTCTGTAGGCTTGGTCCCTTCAGAAGCCCACTGTTCCTACCAAGATCCCAATTGAACCAGTGCCCTTCACAGCCACTGTTACCTAATACACATAGTAATCAACTACTCCTTTTCCTGGTTTTACTTACCTTATTTGCATAGGAAATGGCCAATCATTTTGCAAGATCATAGCCTAGCAAATCACCTTGGCAGATCTACAGAGTCAGGGCCAGAAACATCATTTATGGGGAAAAAATTCAGTAAAAAACTATTGTAGTGCACAGACACGGAATTTCTTTTAAGGGTGATGAACAGTTTGAAAATAATAATGGTATTTGCACAATGTGGTGAACATACTCATGAAAATGAAATGGCAAATGTGTTGTTAAATGGTGTGGGGGTGTGTGTGTGGGGGGTGTGTGTATGTGAGTGTTGCCACAATAAAATAATAATAAGCTGAGCATAAAAATCAGCTTCATTATTTTACTCAAAACTTAATCAGAACTCAGAAATGGGTTTGTACATATTTTATAAACTACCAATTCATTTCTGTAAAATGTTTTCCTAAAACTACTCTTCTTAAATCCTAACCACAGTCAGTGATTGATGATGTCAGTGTTGAAATGCCTCTGCAAGAGGAACCGTGAAGTAATAGCTCAAGCACGGGATGGGGCAGGAGGACAACAAATGAGTTTTGATAAAGTAAATGTGAACCTGAGAAAAGTCTACTCATTTTTCTTCTTTTAGTTGTTTGCCAGCTTCATGGTTCTTCTGAGAAACTACAAGCTTCTAATCATTAACGTTCTGGGCTGTGGGAAGCTGTGCTTTGTAACAATATGAGGCTTGTATTACTTTATACTATCATATAATAGCAATATAAATAGTTTCTGACATGGGTAACTAACATAACTGAGATAAATTCTTCCTTTTATTATAGCTGATAAGACAAGATTAGGTGAGGTAGTATTACCAGCTAGTGAGGACTTTATTAGTGGAAGTTATAGCCCATTGGTTATCCACCAATGGAATCCTGGTGGAATAGTGGTTAGATTCTCAGCTGTTAACTGGCAGGTTGGCAGTTCAAACCCACTGACTTTTCTGTGGAAGGAAGTTCAAGCATCAGCTTCTGTAATGATTTCCAGCCTTAGACACCCTATGGTACAGTTCTCTGTCAGACAGGGTTGCTATGAATCCAAATTGACTGAACAGCACGCAAATCTTTCACCTGAACTCAACAAGTGTCATCTTAAATTGTTACAATGTCAGCACTGTTACCTGGAAAAATTATGTAAAATAGATACCTTCCCAGTAACCCCACTTGGAAGCAGGAGTGGCAGCTGCTTCCTAAACAACATGGCTCTAGAAACTATGAACTTTGATACATGTTGACAGTTACAGAAAGGCTTCAGGTCTTTTGTTCATAGGATTGTGCTCAACTAGACGGCAATCAACAATAATAACAATTCCTATATTTCATCTTCAACCCCATCTCTAATTCTAGTTTCCCATGAAAAATGTCTTCTAAGTTGCCAACTTTCTAATATGGAGGTAAGGAAGCAGTCAGTCAGTTGTCCCATGTACCCTGTCCTTTTCCTCAGGGACCTATGGGAAAATTGTGCCAAGCCAGGTGCCAGGAAGCTACATACACACTAATTTCAAGACAGGACAAAACATCACAGAAATTAGCTATGAACAGGGCAAGGAGACCAATGCCAATCATGCCTGGAAGCATAACGTGACAATGTTTATTACAGGTTAGTAAGCAAGCACATATAAATCCATGCTTACTCAGTTTACTGAGTAATCTAGGGCTTATGAAAAGTAATGAAGTGGAATGTGGGTGTGGAAAACCTCCTCAGAGAATGTTACAGCAAGATATCAGTTTTGCAGGAAGGGTGTTACCAAGAAGCAGCTGTGGGGCACACAGATACAAATTGGGGAGTGTGTGACTGCCCTGTAACACTGTCATTCATCCAGAAACACTGAATGAGTACCCTTTATGGTGGGCTTAATAACAGGGATACCCAGGGGGAAAGCTGGGAAATTACAAAAGTGAAGATAATTCACTCATTTGTTCTCTCATTTAACCAGTGTGAATCCATAAAAGCAGGGAGGTAGGGATTGTAGAAGCTGCAGAGAGGAGAGGCAAAGACAGAAACAGTGATGATGAGAAGAAGATAGTGTAATAGAGATGTAATAGAGGATGTAGTATAATGAGGCCCCTCTGTTAGATGCAAAAAGAGTTAATAGCACAGAACAGAACACAAAAAAAATGAGTTGTCAGATTAAAGGGAATAGACATGCTTATTTTCGCCCATTTCTACAATGGGTAAAGAAAGAGAAACCCGGAAATGGGAGTATTTAAACGCTTATTTATCTACTTACTGCCTCTGGATACGGAGCAAGGCTTGAAAACTCTCAGTGTGTTAGTAAAGAAGGGAGCTCTGGTGGCCTAGTGAGTAAGGAGTTGTGCTGCCAACCCAAAGACAGGGAGTTTGAATCCACTCCATGGAGGAAAATAGGAAGTCTCCTCCTATGCAACTTAACAGCCTCTAAACACCTGCTGGAGTGTCAGCTGTGAGTCAATTCTAACTCAATGGCATGCAATAGCAATAAGAACATTAATAAGGCAGTTTCAAGGGATATATGAAAGGAGAACTTCCATTTATTTCTTGAGAATCTCTCTCATTCATGATGCAGGTGGAGCAAGAAGAGGGTCCACAATATATACTTCATTCTCTTTTTGAACATAATTTAGAAGTATTTTCTTATTTGGAAATGAACTATGTCCTCTACTTCCTAAAAGTGAGGCTGGTAAAAGTCATGTTCTTATTTTAAATGTTTAAAATACCTCAAACCCAGTGCTGCCAAATGGATTCCAACTCATAGTGCTCTTTTTTTAAAATTTATTATTACTATTATTAATTTCAATGAACATCTACAGAGATTTTGGAATTCCATTCATTCATTGTTGCACTTTTCTCCCCGCCCCCTTCACCCCCAGTTCGCTCCTTTCCTTGAAAAGCAAAAGACCAAAAACTGCATTGAAGTCGATGAAGGAGAGAATAGTTTAAAATTAATATATTTTAGGGCATTATGATTATCATAAGAGTCCAGAATGAGGGTTGCAGAGTGGAGTATACCTGGGGTGGGGGTGGGGATGTGCGGGGTGGGGGAGGGGATTGTGTACAAATGAAGGAGTTTGTCTTTTACTTTTCATAGTGCTCTTATAGGGCACTCAAACTGCTCCGTCAGGTTTCTGAGGCTACAAATATTTATGCAAGTAGGCTGCCTTGTCTTTCTATCTGCTGGTGGGTTTGAACCACCGATCTTTGGGTTACCAAGCAAGTGATTAACTCTCTGCCGTATCTCTTAGACATAAAAACAATGAGGACTATTTCATGCAAAAGAAGAGCTTCTCTGTGAGATTATTCTACCAAATATGTTTGTCTTTATTTACTCTTTTTCTACCTGCCCAGTAGTTAATACTGTAGCTAATTAATTTTCTGCCTGCAAAATGGGAATTGAGACAACTCATTCAACACCTTCTTCAGTGCTGTTGTTGGTGTGCGTCCTTGAGTTGGAACTGACTCATAGCTGGCCCTTCAGTGGGTTTTCAGAGACAGTAAGTCATATGGGAGGAGATTTCCCATGGTGCTTCTTTCCCATCCACAGAGCAGCTAGTGGATTTGAACCACATCCCTTCGAGATTGCAGCACAGCTTCTCAGCACTGGGTCACCAGAGCTCCCTAAGGTGTACAGTGCCTTAAATCCCAATTTCAGACTTTTCTTGATAAGTTCTCTATGGCCTGGATTCAGGAAAAAAACTAGTCACAAGTCTTTCACTAATGCTTTAAAGGAACTCGGGGCGGGGTGGGGGGGACACTAATAGATAAGGCATTGTGCTGTCAAATCATAACGCAAGCTACCATCGAGCCTCTATTTAAAGATTGCCTTGTCCAGTCTGAAGTAGTTTAGACATGCATGTCGTATCACCTGTATCCCTGATCTGTCATACTTTTGGGGTTTTTATTTTAACTTTCTCAACTTGGGAGCTTTCTAAAGCTTTCTCCTGCTTCTCGACACTGTATTAACCTGTAGATGCATAAACACAAGTTGTTTGGGGGTCTACAGAGGACAGCCAAAGGCGCCTGCGTCTCCCACAAACCAGCACTAATAGCCCTATTAACGTTAGATAGGCCAACCTAATGGAGTGGTTTTTCCTAGCAGCTCATTGATTAGAAATATTTCCCTTAAGTATTTATATGTGGCCTAAAAAGTATGTGTTCAAATGAAAATAATGATTTTTCAGGAGCGGTGATGTAAGTTCTGAGCCATTTGTGGCTATTTGATAGAGTCTTCTTTGCCCTGTTCTCTTAGGTAGAATGTTATGGGGAAAAAAGCACAAAAAAACAACCCACAACCAAAAGCAGAGAATCACAGTGTCCTCTTGTTTGTTTGTTTCTTGTACAGGTGGATGACCAAATGAAGCTACTGCAGAACTGCTGGAGTGAGCTCTTAATCCTTGACCACATTTACCGGCAAGTGGTCCACGGGAAGGAAGGATCTATCTTCTTGGTTACTGGGCAACAAGTGAGTGTTGGGAGTGAGACAAAAAAAAAAAAAGGATCTTTTTATTAAGCATGCTCAGAATGGCAGGAACTTAACTAGGTCAGAAGCACTTTGGTGCTTTGAAAAGGAGAGATTGGCAGCCAATAATTTAGAAAGGATGAGCTGGAGCACTCTGTGCTTGCTCTGCTGATTACACTTAAACTTGTAAAAGCCCACATAATTGTATGCATTCCGCTGCCTCCAGTCTGTGGGGCTTGAAAATACTGCCTCAAAGGGTCCAAGCAATTGCTGAATCCTGGTCAGTGATTGTTGTTCTTGTATGCCATCGAATCTATTTCAAATCTGAGTGACCTCATGGGATAAGACAGAACCAACTCCCCAAAGAATGGCTTGACATGGTAACTAGAGCAACGGGGTAAGGCGTGTCGGAGTCGGTGAGACTGGCTCAGGATAGTGCAGTTTCAGAGCTGTTTTCTACAGGGTTGATTGGAGTTGTGGGTGCCTCGGTGGCACATGACAACAACAAGCAAATTCTGGAAGCAGGTGGAATAGCTCTTTTCCCCCTGCAGAGCTGCTGGGTAAATTCAGACTGCCAGCCTTTCATTTAGCAGTTGAACACTTATTAAGCACTTAACATCTATACCACCAAAACACCCTGCTGTTGATCAGACCATGTACGATAAAGTGGAACTGTCCCCTAGGGTTAAAATCCTGGGAGCTTGGGTCGTGCAGTCTTCAGGCTGCCCAACCCAAAGGGAGCCTTTGGCAGTTCAATCTATCAGTAGCTCCCCTGGAGAAAGATGGGCTCTGACCTCCTGCATTGAGTCTAGTCTCCTAAAAGCCACTGGACGTTCGGCTCTGAGTTCCGGCTTCATGACAATGACTGACTTGATGCTTTATAGAAGCAGACTACCACATCTTTCTCCTGTAGGGTAGCTGAGGGATTCAACATCTAATCTTTGGATTAGCAGTCAAGCCTTTTAACCATTAGACCACCTATTAGTTGTTGTCAAGTACCAGCTTTTCTTAAATCAAGATATCCATTCATTCAACAAATATTTCTTAAATATTTTACTATGTGGTGTTGGAGAAGAGCGCTGAATATCCTATGGACTACCAAAAGAACAAACAGATATATGTCTTGGAGAAGGTGCAGCCAGAGAGCTGCTTGGAGGCAAGAATGATGAAGCTTCATCTCACGTAATTTAGGCATCTTGCTAAGGAAGGTTATTCCTTGCAGGACTTCATGCTTGGGAAGGTGGAGGGATGGAGAAGAGGAAGACTTTCTACAAGGTGGATTGACACAGTGACTACAACAGTGGGCTGGAGTGGGTCAGGGATTGTGAGAAAGGTACAGGATAGGACAGGGTTCAGATTTATTCTTTATAAGGTTACTAGGAATTGTACTCAACCAGACGGCACCTAACAACAACCACAAACTATCTGCCAGTCACCATTCTAGGACTTTAGTATATGTTTATTGAACCAAACAAGTAAAAGATTTCTCATGCAACTTTACTTGTAGGAGTAGGATGCCTAATCATAAAGAAGAAATCCTTTTAAACAAATGGACGTGGCAGCAAGCCTTATCAATAGTATATGAGAGGACTCCTTCAGTGTCACACACAAGCAGTTAAATATTCAGTTACTAACGGAAACATTTGTGATTGTAATCTACCCAGGAGCACACTGTGTTGAAAATTCAGTGGGAAACAGGTCTACCCTGACAGAAAGGAGGTCACCATGAACTGGTATTAACTTGATGACGAATGGTTTGATATTTTAGAATATGTTAGAGGTCAAAGTACTATTGAATAAAAGAGAAAAGGAGGCAGTGAGGCAGAATTCATATATACTGTGTGTGTTACAATGTGGCCCATGGACTGTGGTGTTAAATAAGGAATGATGTAGGTTGGCCTCTTGGAGAAGGTGACATCGAAGCAAAGACATAAAAGAAGTGTGAAAGTTATGCCTGAAGATCTCGATGAAGAGCATGGTTTCTTAGTGGACCTAGTATTGTTATTGTCGTTGTTAGGTGCTTTTGAGTGAGTCACTTATGACTCTGCAACCCTCTGAAGAACAGATCAGAGCCTTGCCTTTAAAAAAAGAAAAAAGAAAATAAAAGGCGAGCTCTGGTGGCCTAGTGTCAAGAAGCTGCACTGCATTCCCAGAGGTGAGCGGTTCGAATCCACCAGATGAGGGATAATCTCCTCCTGTACCAGTCAGATCCAATTTGAGGATACACACATACACAAAATAATAATTTTTTTTTAAAGAAAACTATTTAAAAAAAAAAAAAAAAAGAACCTTCTCTTGCCCCACCTCCATGATCTCTGCCATGCTCAAGGACATTGTGGTCAACTTATAGCATTGAGGGTCTAGAGTTTGACATATCCCTTGAGTTTGTTACCCTATGCCATGCTGGAGGTGTCATTGAAATAAATGCATAGAACATTGGGATTCCTTAAGTCTGTTGGGCCATATCTGTGCTGAGCACCTCCCCAGTGTTCAGCAGTTAGGGGACTTCCATACTCAGGCACTGTGATCTTTTACATCTAGCCATAAATGTTTATGTGCTGTGAAACCACAGCAGTGCATATCTGAAAATGAAAAGCTGTCTCCCTACCATTTTCTGTAATATTAATAAATCACATCTTCCTGATCAAATGAAAAGCAAGCACTATTCCAGAGCTTCTGCAAATTGGATCAATCAGACCATCACAATCTGGCCCTGCTTTCTGTACCTTACATAAGAAGAGGTTTCTGGAGGACAGTCTTCCAGTTTCCAAAGGTTTACCTTCCTTTCTTTTTTAAGTTTTTAATGTTTTCCTCTTGTGCCCCAAGTGCTTGGAGAAAATGTACCCCATTTTCAGAGTCTACTCTCTGGCCATGCTTCCTCCCTCCCTGGAAGCTGCATTAGAAGAACTAATGTTCTTCTTAATTTGTGGACTCAATCCACAAATTAATTTGCTTTCATTTCCTTCTGACTTTCAAAAATGAGATGGGGTTGTGCTGTTCTTTCTCAAAGCACTTCCATCCTGCTCTTTAGATATACTCCTTATTTCACATTTCATTTTACTTTAAGTGCTGCCCCTGGGCAAAGGTAATTACCATTTAAAAAGTAGAGAAAGTGCATTTCTTGCTTCTCTGATCTTCAAAACCCAGAACATTCAAGGCATAATAGTCTTTATTGTGAATTACTGCTGCTTTGGATTTTACGGAGCTCTGGTGGCACAGTCCATAGGGAGTTGTGTGCCTACCTCAAAGGCTGCTCTTGGGTGGGTTGAATCCACCAGCAAGGGCTATTTCCATGGCTGCCTGTAGACCGTTATAGGAATGTCTTACTCGGTCCTGTAGGAAGCCCTGGTGGTTTAGTGGTAAGGAGTTGCACTTCTAACCCAAAGGCACACGGTTCAAATCCACCGGTTGCTCCATGTGAGGAAGAAGGGCATCTCCTCCGATGCAATTTACTGCCTGTGAAAACCCAATCAAGGATTTGCTATGTGTCAGTTTTGACAGCAATAGATTTTTAAAACTATATATATAGTAAGTATAAAACAGCTCACTGACCTCATCTAGTCATGGCAACCCTCCATCAAGTTTCAGAGACTCTAAGTCTTTACAGGAGCAAACGGCCTCTGGAGCAGCTGGTGGATGCAAACATCTGACTTTCTATGAGCAGCACAATATGGAAATGAACTAAAATTGTAAGCAAATATTTGTATATGTTTTAATATAACACAGTAAATGATACAAACTTGTTAGCACAGATCTGTATATGTTTCAGACGCTAGTAAACAAGAGCTCTGATGGTCTTGGAAGGAGTTCACGGCCAACACAAAGGAGGCAGTTCAGATCCACCAGCTACTCAGAGGGAAATATGGGAAATCTCCTCTGGTGTGATCCACAGCCTCTCTAAACCCCCTGGAGGGTCAGTTATGGGTCAGGTCCAACTCCACAGCACAGAACAACAACAACTTAATCCTTGCAATAGCTCCATGAAGAAAGTACAATTATTATCATCATCACCCCTCATCTTTTTTTTGCATCTGAGGAAACTAAGAGGTTAAATAGTTTGTTCGAAGTCAAAATACAGTTAGCCAGTGGTAGGACGTATAGACATACAGAAATAGGCAATCTGGTGCTGGTGCTTTGCTTTTAAACAAAATGCTATACTTAGCTTTTCTGGCTAATTTACAGATGCTAAAAGGTTTTCTGTTCTCCTTGGTTTGTAATTTGGTCTCTGTGGGTAATTTCAGTGCACGGCAGTCTCTGTGGTATTTACAACCAAAACAAATTCTTTTTTTCTTTGAATGAGCCTAAATGCATACACTTTTTGTTTGTTTGTTTTTTGTCTTTATTTTTGATGTGGCATTGCCAACCCCCTGTGAAAAAAGAAATTTATTTGGAAATAATTTTAATGTAATTATCACTTCTTATTTAAAAATGATGATTTTAGTATAAAGAGAGGGGGCTAAAAGAAAAGAAAAGGAAATAACTTTCCTGTGCACCTAAATCAGCTGTTTTCATTGAGCTGTCCTCCAATCTTTGGAGAAAGCATATTTTAAATGAGCATGTTTCTCACTGTTCAGAATAAAATAATTCATCTGTACAGAAACATATTATCCTACTGCTGTGGATTTTTGTGGACTGTGAACTTTGAAACAATGATATGTCTGTTTCCATGATGCATTTTATCAAGGCCAGGATGTTGATATTGTCTGTGTGTGTTGGGGGGGGGGAACTAAAGACTATTATCTAAACAAAGCATGCAAAATTCCCCTTCTGGCAGCTTAGCAAAATATTTCTGAAGACCTGATCAGTGAAGGGAAGTCAAAGGTGTGAAGATTTAAAACATTTTTTAAAAAATTGAAAGAGCTACAATTCTGGTGCCTGATTAATAGTTGAAATGGTACTTTTGTTATTGCTGTTGGGGTGTGTGTTAAATTTTATATTGTTTTACATGCACTCATTCATAGATATTGTGATTTAAAAAAAATATATAGTGAATTACTATTTGT